TGAAGGGGCCTTCCCAGGGGCTGAGTAGCTTGTGGCATCCCGAGGTATTCTGGATACATTTGAGAACTAGATCTCCAACTTGAAAGGTATGAGGGCGCACATTCTTGTCATAGTGACATCGTAGGCCTTGTAAGTACTTGGCAGATTGGAAGAGTGTGTTAAACTTAATTTCTTTAGCACTGTCAATTTCTAGCCGCCGGGTTTCGTCTGCTTCGCCTTCATTGTTCTGTTCAACCCTGGGAGAGTTCCATATCAAATCTGCTGGTAAGATAGCCTCTGAGCCATAAACCAGGAAAAAGGGAGAGTACCATGTTGCTCTACTTTGCTGAGTACGCAATCCCCAAACCACCTTGGGTAACTCGTATATCCACTTACCACTGTAGTCTTTAAGTTCGTCAAATAGCTTGGGCTTTAATCTGGCTAGGAGTAGCCCGTTAGCCCACTCTACTTGGTCGTTTGCTTGAGGATGGGCTACAGAAGTATAGTCGATGCTGATGCCACAATCTTGAGCCCAACTTCTGAACTCAATAGCTGTAAAGGGTGAGCCGAGATCTGTAATAATCCGATTAGGCATACCGAACCAGTACATAATGTCTTGCATAAATTCGACTACCTTTGTAGCATTGAACTTGATGAGTGGCTTGTACTCTATCCACTTGGTAAACTTATCAATAGCTACGTAGATGTACTTGAAACCACCGGTGCTCATTTTAGGGGTCCAACCATATCGAGCCCCCAGCATGAAAAAGGCCATGATGGAGGGATGCCGATAAGGTTGTGAGCTGGGATGTGGGCTTGTTTGACAAAGAACTGACAGCCCTTGTAGTGTCGCAATAGCTCTTCTGTCTTTGAGTCTGTAGGCCAATAACACCTAGATCTAAAAGCCTTGCCGACTAAAGTCCAGGAAGCTACGTGATTACCATAGCACCCAGAGTGGATTTCCTCCAAGATCCGTTGCCCTTCTTCAGGTGTAATGCATTTGAGGAGAACACCAGATGATGCGCCCCATCGATAGAGCCTGTCTCTGACTAAGACATAATTCTTACTTCTACGTGTGATCTGCTCTGCTTCCACCTTGTTGTCGGGCAACTTGTGATCTTAGATGTAATCAATAAATACTTGCATCCATGTCGGGTTAACCACTAGTACCTGGACATCAGGAGTCGGGGTACTAGTGGGTGTGGAGGCCTCTTGCTTGATTGAAGGGACTTGGAGTTCCTATACGAACACATCAGGGGGTACCTGGGCTCTGTCTGATCCCAATTTGGCCAAAGCGTCAGCTGCAACGTTGAGATCTCGCATAACATGGAGGATTTCTAGACCTTGGAAGTGTTTCTCAAGTTTACAAACTTCTGTGCAGTAAGTGTCCATGGTTTCATTGGTGCAGTTCCAATCCTTGTTAACCTAGTTGATGACCACCAAGGAGTCGCCATAGACGAGTAAACACTTGATGCCCAGTGAGACTGCTACTCGGAGGCCATGAAGGAGGGCCTCATACTCGGCTTCATTGTTGGTAGCAGGCCAAAGTATTTGTAGGACATATTTAAGTTGCTTTCCATCCGGAGATATGAAGAGAACGCCATCGCCTGCACCTCCTAGCTTGAGGGAACCATTGAAATACATCTTCCAATGGTCGAGGATAACTGTTGGAGTAGGCTGCTGGGCTTTGATCCACTTGGCGATGAAATTAGCCAAAACTTGAGATTTGATAGCCTTGTGGGAAACGAACTCAATGTTCTAAGCTCCAATTCAACTGACCACTTGGATATGCATCCTGTTGCATCCTGATTGCGTAAGACATTGCCAAGTGGGAAGTCAGATCCCACTATTACCTTGTGCTCGTCAAAGTAGTGGCGTAGCTTGCGTGAAGTAATTAAGAGGGCATAGAGGAGCTTTTGCACATGTGGGTACTTGGCCTTGTATTCTAATAGCACCTCGCTAATATAATAGATAGGTCATTATTCCTTATATACGTGCCCTTCTTTAGCCCGCTCCACAACTATTGCTGTGCTAAGTATCGTACTAGTAGCTGCAATGTAAAGTAGGAGTGGTTCATGCTTCTCGGGTGGAGTAAGAATTGGAGAGGTGGCTAGGTACTCTTTGAGCTTCTAGAAGGCTTTGTTAGCTTCGGTTATCCTCTCGAACTTGCCTGTCTTTTTCAACAACTTAAAGAAGGGCAGACCTTTCTCCTCAAGTCGCGAGGTAAAATGATTGAGGGCCGCCATGCACCCTATCAGTTTCTGAACATCTTTAACGCAGTGAGGTTGAGTCATCTAAGTGATTGCTTGAATCTATTTTGTGCTAGCTTCGATACCCCGATGGCTCATGAGGAAACCCAATAGCTGTCCAGAAGAAACTCCAAACACACACTCGGTTGGGTTAAGCTTCCACTTGTACTCACAAGATTGTCAAAGGTTTGCTTTAGGTCTGCAATCAGAGTAGAGGGATCCTTAGTCTTGACGATGACATCATCCACATAGGATTCTACATTATGACCCGATATGTTCACTTAGGCATGCCTGGATAGCCCGCTGATAGGTTGCACCGGTGTTTTTTAACACAAAGGACATGGTTGTGTAACAGTAGGCACCAAACGGAGTGATGAAGGATGTCTTGCTCTGATATTCTTTTCAGAGGGCGATCTGATGGTAACCCGAGTAGCAATCAAGGAAGGATAAAAGAGCTGACCCGATCATGGAGTCTATGATCTGATCAATATGAGGTAAGCCGAAGGGATCCTTCGGGTAGTGCTTGTTGAGATCTATGTAGTCAACGCATATGCGCCACTCTTTCAAGTTCTTCTTTGGGATGAGTACAGGATTGGCTAGCCAGAGTACATGATTGGCTAGCTAGTCAGGGTGAAGAATTTCCCTAATGAACTCAGCTGCTAATAGCTTGGTGATTTCCTTCTTGATTGCCACTTTCTTATCTGGTGAGAACCGTCATAGTCGTTGCTTAATCGGCTTTGAGCCAGGATTTAAATCCAATTTATGCTCAGCCAACTCTCTCAGAACACCCAGCATATCAACCGGCTTTCATGCAAAGATATCCTTATTTTCCCTGAGAAAGTTGGTGAGTGTGAGTTCCTACTCTTTAGAGAGGTGGGCGCTGATGATAGCTGTCTTAGAGGGATCACTAGTACCCAGATCAATCTCGATGGTATCCGTCTTAGAGGGTGGGGCAATGATTCCTGCCTTCTTAGTCGAAATCTCCATGTCTTCTGGCTTAGTCTGCTGTGCAATGTTGGCAATCTCCTGTACTTCACAGGCTTGCTGCGTTCTGGCTGCGATCTAGATGGCTTCCGTGTTGTAGTCATATGAACACTTGAGGTCACCTCGAAAGGAGAGTACACCATTGGGACTCAGCATCTTGAGCAAGAGGTATGGGTAATGCGGTATGATGATTCGAAGTCAGCTACCTCGAACTGGATGAACTCTGTTCAGAAATTTTTGGGGTGCCAAATGTTACTGGGAGCGTGATCCGTTCGAGTGGCATGGCAGCCTTGCCAGGTACTATCCCATAGAAAGGGACGTCAGTGGGAGTGAGTATGCTGGTAAAATCCAGGCCTATCTTCTTTAGCATGTTTGCAAATATTATGTTCAATCCTGCGCCACCATCGATCAGGACCTTGGGGACTGTCATGCCAGCTATTGTTGGACCCAAGATGAGTGGATAGTGGCAGGCATTAGTCACGCTAGTCCATTGATCTTTCCTAGAAAACTAGATCAGGTACCCAGACCAATTAAGGTACTTTGGTGTTGAAGGTTCTCCTGCCATGATATCCCAAAGAGCCAACTTCCTAGAGCGTTTGTTTGATGAAGTCGATAACCCCACAAACATTACAGCAATTGGGCCCTTAGACTGTTGGAAGCCAGGGTCAGCGTTGTCATCTCCATCTTTGTTGTTATCAGTTTTACTCTTGCCTTTGTTGGTTTTGGCGCAGAAACCTAGTTCTTGGAGTTGTCTGCACTAGATCATCATGTGCTTGGCGTTCTTGTGGAAAGGGCAGGGTAAATTCTTGAGGTCTTCAAACTTCTTGTTATTCTTGTTAGACTTCTTGGACCTATCCATGGAAGAAAGGGTGTTGTCAGGTCCTTTCTTTTTGGCGGATTGTCCACCCTGATTGCTTCTAGGGTCGTAGCCTTTGTCTTGTGGGCCGCGTGCGAATCGTTCACGAGTACGCTCTTTAGATGCAATCATCTTTTGTACTGTACGCTTGAATTCCTCAATGGTCTCTAGATTGTCACCGTATAATTTTTCAAATTGCCACTTGTATTTGATCCCGTTGGCAAAGTGATCTATCACCTCCCTGTCCGTGATATCAAAGACTTGGGCTCATATTTTAGCAAAGCGGTGATAATATTGCTGGAAGTATTCATCTGGTTTCTGTTTACAAGTTCTAATCTCATTCTGAGTACTTGGGTCGGTGAGGACACCACAAAAATTTTCACAGAATTTGCATTGAAGCTATCCCCAAGTATCAATGGAGCAGGCTCGTAGTCTATCAAACTAGATGAGAGGCATAGTGTTGAGTGCCATGGGAAAATATAATACTTTGATGTCATCGTCGCCGCCTGCCAACTCGATGGACTGAGAGTAGATGTGCAACCATTGGTTGAGTTCTGACTTCCCATCGTACTTGGTATGGTTGGATGGCTTAAACTTGTAGGAAAGCCAACAGAGAGTAGTCTGTTAGAGAAACATAGGAACCTATCTGGCGGGGTATCGGCTTCTCTGTACTCAGACTCGCCTCTACCTTCCCTATTGCTGTACTGGTGCCCATGATAGGCCGACTGCGCAGCACCCTGATTCCTATTCTGGTTACCCTATGGTCCTAGATGGGAGTGGGCTGGTACTCGCTGTTCTCCTCCTTGGTCACCCTATGGTCCAAGACGAGAGTGGGCTGGTGCCCGCGCCTCTAGTCCTCGGGAAAGGTTAGCTTGAGATGTCGCTTTTGCAGCCTGCATCTGAAGGGCTATTGATTCCAAAATGACTTTGAGTCATTGCTGATCTATAGTTGGGTTTTCTATGGTCGCCATCTCCTCTACCAGGGCATAGACATTGGCGTAGGGCGTGATAAAGACCCTATGGCCAACTACTTCCATGAATTCAAGCTCAAGGTTGCATGATGCAGAGGCTCTGATGGCATCACGGTCTTGGCGATGTTGTTCTACTTCTTCATCCCATAGACGATGTTCATACACTGCCTCTACAGCCAAGCGATGTCGTTCAATGTCTTGATAAGTTGATTGATACCACTGCCACTCATCCCTACGGTGTTGGGTGCGGTTACATCGAGCCTGTCGAGCTCTATTCTTCCTTTTCCTAGCCATGTTCTGCTCATCCATCTCTCCGTTGGGTGGTGTTTGGGGAGATGTTGGACAAGGTTTCCTCTCCATCTTTGATATCTGGTGGGTTAGGCATAGGGATCTGAGGTGGTTGCCCAGCCATGAAGACTTTTCTAGAGTGCTTCATGGCCGAGTGAGTTCCATCTATAGTCATCGCAATGTCCAAGGTCTCTATAGAATCATGATCGATGTTGTCCGCTGGAAGAGTGCTGCCGTCCTGATAAGGCAAGAGCTCCACCATGCCGACTAGACGAGATGGATCTATTAAAGAAGTGTCGGGTCGAGCACCCGGCCAATGAACGATGCCTCTTTTGGGTGTGATGGATAGAACCAATCCTCTTTGGGCACCCGCAAGAGGGATTTCTTTCTTAGGCTGCATGAGGTGGCTGATCGTATCTTGATAAATTGAAGCTGAATTCTTGAGTCCGACTGGAAAATAAACTAGGTCTTCGAGTTGGACTTCAATTGGGATCTCCAACCCGGACAAAAGTGACATGTTCGAGCGGGAGTCATGGTTGATGGTGACCTCTTGAGTTCGAGTTGAATCAGAAATTGAGAGGTGTGAAAACTTGTCGGTGAGTTGATCTAGTGTGATCGTCAAGACATCTAGTGAAGCTTGAGGCACCAGGATCTCCATGAGATGACTTTGGAGCTTGCCATTGTTGTCTGCCTTGCAGATCTAGGAGCCAAAGATGAAGGTGGTTCCCACCGAGAAAATCATGTTGTCGAGGTCTGCCGAGCTCTCGATTGCGAAGTCACCAAAAGCCCCTACCTGGCGTGCCAGTTGTCGGTGTTTGATGACTGACAACTCATCATAGGGTTAGCTGGGATGATATTCGAAGGGCTTTGGCGTACGTAGAACTCGATAGTAAACGCAAAGAGACGAACGATTTATACTGGTTCGGGCCCTCTTGTCAAGTAATAGCCTTTACGTCCAGTCGGCGTGTAGCCTTTTGCATTGGATTGAATGTATGATTGTTAGGGTTACAAGGGGGTGCGTCGTACCTCTCTTTATATAGGGGAGAGGGTAAGGGAACATATCTAGTCCTAATTGGTTACAAGAGAAGAGTCCTAGTCCTATTGTAGAATTTAGCTTTCATAGTAAGCCGACTAAGTTGATCTAGAATAGCTTGAAGTCCACGCCACCTTGTCTCGCATCCTTCAACAGATCATGGGCCATCCTAGGGCCCATCCAGGTAGAACTCTCATGGGGAACCCCTAGGACCCTAGTCCATCAGTATGTGTGCTAGATTTCAAGCTAATCCTAAGGAGGCTCACATGGTTGCCGTTAAAAGAATCCTTAGGTACCTTAAGCATACACCAAGCATTGGTCTTTGGTATCTAAAAGGAGCTAGATTCCAACTAGTTGGCTATTCCGATTTGGATTATGCTAGTTGCAAAATTGATAGAAAAAACACATCTAGAGCGTGCCATTTGCTTGGTAGATCACTAGTATCTTGGACCTCTAAGAAGCAAAATAGTGTGGCCTTATCCACCGCCGAGGTGGAGTACATTGCCATGGGTGCTTGTTGTGCACAAATCCTTTACATGAAGCAAATTCTTCTAGACTATGGTGTAGTTCTAGAAAAGGTACCTCTTTTGTGTGACAATGAGAGCGTGGTAAAACTTGCTAATAACTCGGTTCAACACTCTCGCACCAAGCACATAGTTATCCGTCATCACTTTCTTAGAGATCATGTTGCTAAAAATGATATATCACTAGAAGGTGTAAGGACGGAGGATCAATTAGCGGATATCTTCATAAAATAGCTAGATGAGGTTACATTTTGTCGGTTGAGGAATGAGCTCAATGTGGTTGATCTAAGTAACTTCACTAAAAATGAGCTTGTGTTGTCCCTTGCATTGCATTGTATTATAAAACATGTTTAATTTTTAGTAATGCACTTAGGGCTTGTCTAATATGGTTAAGATAACCGCCAAAAAGTGTGTGAAAAAGCTTAACCTTGGATCAAGCTTGACAAGCAACTAGCTTTACCTTTCTCGTATTGCATTGCATATGCATGTGTGTTGCTTTGTCATTTGCTTTTGGTTATCTTTTGAGCATCCGCTGTGTTCGTCCACAAATAAGGAGAGCATTTGAAGCTCCTAATGGTTAAAATCCCTATTATGTGGCCACATGTTGCTCCTTGCCTCTCTTGTTGCCTATTTTTCTAAAAAGAATTATAGCCGAAGGCAAATTATTTTGAAAAACTCGAGGGTTTGAGAGTGGTCTCTCATATATGTCCCAATTGGTGTTTATTTGGGCCTTAATCAAGTTGGGACTTGATTGGGAGAAAGCATCATGAAGAAAGGAGAAATAGCAGCTGAAGAGGGACTGGACGCAGGTACTGGACTCACCTATTGCAGCGTCCGGTTAGTACATTAGGAGGAGATATAGTAGCTGAAGAGGGATCGGATGATGAATAGTGTTTCACATGCGTCCGGTGACAAGTTGAATCCACGTCCGGTTAGCGCAATATGGAACACAGGATTGACCGAACTCAGCTCTGTGTCCGGTCATAGTGCCTCGGACGCGTCCGATCGCTGTTTGAGGCGTTCTAGACCTCTTTGTTATCGATTGGACCCAGGGGAGTAGCATCAGGTCAATTCCATCGGTACGTCCGGTCGCAACTGTGTTCGCACGATTTGTTTAAAAATCCAACTGATGCATGGGGACCCTCTCTCTTCCTTCTCTCTTTATCCTTTTCAATTGTTTCTTTTGGTACGCCACGCCGTCGATGCTCTAACCCTAACTGCCACCGCGATGGCGCCTCTCCGGCCACAGTGCCACCACCACCTTTGTGGCCTCGCCCTCATGCCTCTGCACCACAGATGCACCTCGCCCGCTCACTCATGCGCCACGCTCACACCCCCATCACTGCACGCAGCCAAGGTGCCGCCGTGACCATGCTCCTTAGGCCACCGCGCCACTCATCACTATCGCGCCATGTGCTTCTCCATGCACTCGCACACTCACGCCACGCCCGCTGCTCTCCACCACCGTGTGCCTGCGCAGTGTCCGTGCTCTGGCTCATCGCGCCGAGGGCAGTCACCACCGCCATCATGGTTTCTCTTTCTCCGCCAGTGCGCTGCCTTCCTCCTCAACTCAGGTGACTTTGTGTCCTCCACCTCGACCTCCAGCATTGCCCCTAGGAAGATTCCTTGGCCGGCTTCACCTTCACCCTGGTGCCCTACCTTGATGTCCAACGGTCGTGCACCGGCATTTCCGTGACCTGCACCACCCCATATTGTACTTGTTCCCTTGATTCGTGGTGCCCCTATGTTTGTTAGTGGCTTACCTTTTCACAAGAATTCTTCTCATTCTAAGGTAGTAAGCCAAGTTCATTCTATTCATACCTCACTGCTTGCTTCTGATTAGGATCTCGCTCATCTCTAGAATAAAATGTGATGCTTATATGTATTCCGCCTATTTCTATTGATGCAGCAAGACGGTGTGTTTGAGGTTACTTAGCAGCTAACAGTGGCAGTTGAACCCGGGGCCAAGCCCGTGGGTATGGATTGAGGCCAAGCCTTAGTGAGTGTCAGTAGATAGTCGATCTTAGTGACAGTGGCTTTCTTATTAGTGGACTGATAGGCAGTTGATCTTGTTTAAGTTTGTCAGTGATAGGGGGAGCTCTAGATTGCTTGATATTGTTCAGTGGCAGTTGATCTTTGTAGTGTCAGTCATGGCTCATTGCAAGAATGTCGGGGGTGGTCTCGGCAATGATGAGAGGCGTCTGCCTCGCCTGACAAAGCAGGAAAAGGTGAAGGGGCCAAATAAGACAGTTATAAAGAAGAAGCGCAAGCATGGTGACATAGAGGTAGAGAGAGCAGTAGCAGTGATCGCCGCCGTAGAGTGTGCTGAGAGAGGTGCCAGAGTCAGTGGTGTTCGTATTGGCGATTAGTTGTCACCAGCTTAGAGGGCCACAGTAGAGGAGCTTGAGGCTAGGCATGGTAGTCCATGTGCTACTATCATGCTTGGAGGTTAGTGTGTATCTCTGGAGGATGCACTAGAGGGCACTTGTGTGGAGGAGATTGAGCCCCAGGAGGAGACCGAGCAGCACCAAGAGCAGGCAGAGCAGCCACGGCTTTGACGTTCTACTCATACTCGCACCCAGGTGTCACTGAGGCCTGAGACATAGAGACGTGGTTCTCGTCCACCTCCTAGACCACAGGGTCTACCCCCAGTGGTACACTTGGACTTGAGGGCAGCCATAGCTAGGCAGGTGCAGCAGCTTCGTTTTGTGGAGTTTGAGTAGTGGTTACCACCGAGGCGGGATGAGCGAGGCATGGGGCCTAAAGGTGGCACGGGGCCAAAAAAGTAAAGGTACTTATTTTGATTGATGCGTGGATGTCTATTACAATAGTTGGGGTTCAATATTTATACCCGAGGCTTGACTACGAGTCCTGGTTGAACAAGACCGGTTATAAAACTTGGTAAAGAGAACAAAACTTTCTAAATTACAATAACTTGGACCTCAATCTTTTCCTTCTATGATATCCAACACATCTTCCTGCTTCATGTCTTGTCGTCCCTACCGATAGGGCCTATTCATTTGAGATGATGATATCACCTTATCTAGTCGATCCTGATGGCAATTCAGTTAGCCGATCTTGCTAAATATTTCGGCTTTCCTTGACAAATCCTGACTTTAGGGTCTTCTCATCTCAAACCAAATTTTGGTGTCAACACCTGCATCTGGTAATTGCTTTAATTTCAGTAATGGCTGCGTAATAGACCTATGACCTAGGTTGTGATGATACGATCTAGCTTGAACTACTGAGGCGAGGACCTGGCAATCAGTAAGTATATTTGCCACCTGGAAGTTCAAAGCATCAACAATTTTTGTGCCCAATAGTAAGGCCTGGTCTTCAGCCTGCAAGGGGTCCATATGTTGATGGGATTGCAACTGTATAAAAGAACTGGAGCATAGAGTATGCATTGGTGCAGTTAGGATAAAAATTCCTATGTCTGTTAGACTTTGTTGTTAAGATCCCTGCAAGCATACAGAAGCATCATAGAAAACTTTTGGGCCATTGAGTATGTGGAT